CAGCTGCCTTTGACAGTTGTTTTTCTTTCTGAGTGTGGTATTTTGTCACTTACCATCCGGGCTGTATTACATAGCAGATTGTTGTTTACTTATATTTTCTGCTTTTAGAATTTTTACAGGCAGTAAATGACTTATCAAGAAAATATGTTTATGTAGAAAATGAAGTGTCAAATTATCTACTGTTTCGATTACTTGGGTGGTTGTTATTTTTTCCCTGTAATTGACTTCTCTGAAAAGTCTTTCTTCTCAGAGAGGCTGCTGTGTTGTCAATCGTGCCAAATTGTATGAGATTATGTGCTACAGTTTTGTGACAGAAACTGATATTCATTAGGAAGTTGTGATCACTGTAATAAAAAGTAATGAAAAGGAGACGCACAGTTGTCTTTTGAAAACATGACAAGTATTCTCCTCCTTCCTCTTCTTTCAGTGCCTGTCAATCTGTAACTCCTTTAAATTACCACTTATGCATACAGTGATTCCACTTTTCCATTTGCTAATCTTGTGAGATTCTACATTCAACAGGAGGCGTTTCTAATACGTCCACTGGCTGTTTGCATCTGACTTGGCAGAGGGGTGAGCAGAGAGGAAGAACTGTGGAGAGGAAGGGAAATTTGGAAAAATGGAAGATTAATGGAGATGGCCTTTTATTCTTTTCCTCTGTTGGTCAGTCACAGCTCTGAACACTTTTGCAAGGGTTTGTTAGTGAGAGAAGTGGTTGGTTAGATGGACTAACACTTTATGACATTGTAATGACTGTTCTCTCCCTGCCATACTTCTCAGCCATATACAAATGTTAATACATTAACCTCAAAGGAGACAACAAATTTTGGAGGTCAGCAGGTTAAGGGTGGCAGTACCATATGAAGGCACAGCTCAGGCTTTTTTTCCTTTATTTCTGGCAAAGTGCACACAAAAGTGATCAGGGTTCCTATCTACTTGCTATCTCTCCTCATTTCGCTCAGTTATCTAGCTGAGGCAGTGAGTAAGTTTTTCCTCAGGCATTGGTATTCAGGAAGCACTTTGGAGCTGTAACTAAGATCAGAGCTCTGTTATTTTAGTCATTGTGGGCATATGTACTAAGAACTTAAATCTCTTTTATTGAGCCAGTGTATTTTGTCTTGAATTGTTGCAGGCTTAGCTGACATGCAGTCAGTCACTTTTTAAGCTGCAATAACCTTTCAGCATACCTTACCTCAGAAATTCATACCCTTTCCTGCT